CACAGTGGGCGTGTCCCCGGGCGCAGGGGGCGTGTCCCTCGTCACAGTGGGCGTGTCCCCGGGCGCAGGGGGCGTGTCCCGGCGGGGGGCGTGGCCGCGCTGGTGCCGCAGCAGGGCGGGCGAGGAGCGGAAGGCGCGGGCGCAGACGAAGCAGACGAAGAGCGCCCCCCGCAGGGCGGCGGCGGCGAAGGCGCGCGGGTGCTGCCGCTTGGCGTGGCGGGCGGCGAACGCCGCGTCCGGGAAGGTGATCAGGCAGCGGCCGCAGCGCCGCGAGCCCGGCCGGTCTGGGGACACGGGGGCACCCTTGGGACTCCCTGGGACACCCTGGGGACACCCTGGGACACCCTGGGGACTCCCTGGGACAGCCTGGGGACACCCTGGGGACTCCCTGGGACATGGGGGCACCCTTGGGACTCCCTGGGACAGCCTGGGGACTCCCTGGAGACATCAGGGACACCCTTGGGACACCCTGGGGACATGGGGGCACCCTTGGGACTCCCTGGGACACCCTGAGGACAGCCTGGGGACTCCCTGGGGACATGGGGGCACCCTTGGGACTCCCTGGGACAGCCTGGGGACACCCTGGGACACCCTGGGGACACCCTGGGGACACCCTTGGGACACCCTGGGGACATGGGGGCACCCTTTGGACTCCCTGGGACAGCCTGGGGACATGGGGGCACCCTGGGACAGCCTGGGATACCCCTGGGACACTGGGGACAGCCTGGGGACATGGGGACACCCTTGGGACACCCCGGGGACACCCCGGGACACCCCGGGGACATTGGCGACACCCTTGGGACTCCCTGGGACACCCTGGGGACACCCCGGGACAGCCTGGGGACTCCCTGGGGACAGACTGGGGACTCCCTGGGGACATGGGGACACCCTTGGGACACCCTGGGGACACCCCGGGACAGCCTGGGATACCCCTGGGACACTGGGGACAGACTGGGGACTCCCTGGGACAGCCTGGGGACCCTGGGGGGACACTGGGGACACCCCTGGGGACACCCCTGGGGACACCCCTGGGGACACCCTTGGGACACCGTGGGACAGCCTGGGGACATTGGGGACATTGGGGACACCCTTGGGACACCCTGGGGACACTGGGGGGACATTGGAGACACCCTGGGGACACCAGTGACACCCTGTGGGTGGCCCAGGGACATGGGGACACCCAAGGGACCCCCAGGAACACGAGTGACACCTACGGGGACACCCTGGGGACACGTGCGGCCCCCCTCCCCCCCCCCCGTGCCCCTCCCCCACTCACACTCGAACCCCTCCTGCCCGGGGGGGCTCGCGGGGGCCCCTCCCCCCCTCCCCTCCCCCTCCGGCCGGGGGAGGGGGGAGGGGCGCGCCGGGGGCGGCGGCTGCGACATCCCTGGGGTGGGGGAGGGGAACGGCGGGGGAG